ACACTGGCAGGCAGAAGTGGACTGGGTTGGGGTGGGGGGGGGGTCCTCACTACTGTGGGGGTAGGGATAGGGTGGGGGATGTAGTGAGGGATGGGTAGAGGGTCCTTGGGAGAGGGTTAGCACAGGGTAGGATGGGGCTAGCGCAAGGGAAATGCCAGCCTCCCGCCCACAGCTCCAGAGCCTTACTTTAAGCACTGAAACTTAAAAAAAATAGTTTGGGGTTTCTCCTTTGCCTTTTAGCTATAATTATAGCATTTTTTGTCTTCATGTTATCTTAGTCCAATATTAACAATGATCCTAAAAGTGCCCTCTCATATTTGAAAAATTTAAACATGCCAAATGTCCTTTTAGTTGAATGGACACAAAGTCTCTCTCTCTCTCTCTCTCTCTCTCTCTCTCTCTCTCTCTCTCTCTCTCTCCCCATTTCGCCCCCATCTCCCTCCCTCCCCCTCTCCCACACATTCTCTCAGTCACACACATTTTCTCACACACACATTCACTCTCTCTGTCGCATACACACATTGTCTTTCTCACACATATTGTTTCTCTCACACACATACATATTGTCATATTATTTATTTTATCGAATTCCCAGTGAGCCCCTATTTATCCCCCTCTTTCCTGAGAGGAGGGATCAGTCGGAGACTAAGGAGCCAAGCTACCAGACGGGGCTGTGGGCAGGGCAAGAGGAAAGAACACACCTTGCCACAAACACCGTGCTGGGTTAATGGGCCATATCATTTCTGCCTTTTTGAAAAACAAAACAAAACAAAACCGAGGGTCCAGTGACCCATGACAACTGACATGGGCCACCAGGACACCGGGTTCTGGCCTCACTGGCCTTCATTTCGGCTCTTGACAGATCACTTTGCCTATCTGTACTTTCAGTTTTCTCATCTGTAAAATGTGTTTAATCATATTGACTTGTTTCCCAGGGAAAGTAATGTGATATATTAATATTTGTGAAGCTCTTTCAGATCTGACGATAAAAGGTGCATTATATTAAGCAGTGCTCGCTTCTCTCCCTGTTCCCACCCCCATCCGTAATCTACGCTCCATCAGATGCACACTTTTGCAAAGTTCATGTAAATGATTCCAGGCTATTTTCTTTAAGAAAAATTAATGCTTGTGATAAAAAAGAACCTGACAAAATCATCATAAAATAAAAAAAAATAGAAAGAATAATAGTGACAGGCAAAGAAGGTTAAGGTTTGAAAAAAAAATCCATAAGAAAACAGGCTTCCGTTCTAGGCTCGTGTGGGGTTATTAGAAACAACAGTGAGTAATAATGATTACGAAAATGAGGGAAAATACATTGACAGTATCATTTGAAAACAATTGTTTTAAGAGGCTTTTTACACACATTTTACACAGTGTGGATATCCAAAACGGGTTTTAGGTGATATTGAGAGGATTGTTTTTCAAGGTATTAAATGCACAAAGAGCAAGAATGGAAATTATGGAGAGTTAGCTGATGGAATCCAGTCCAGGAAAATAATCAGGCTAAGGATGGCACAGGGCCACGGGACACTTACCAACTGTCAGTGCTTTGAGGTGTTCAGATGTCTTTAAACAATATGTCATTTCCTTTTACACATACGCAACCTACTTTCTCCTCTCTTGCAATTTCTCTCTGCATTGGTGGACTCCTGATATCAGAAGTGTGCTACTCTTGATTGTTAATTGATTTGATTGGCAAATAGTGTGGGCAAACCAGTTCCTGTTTTCTAAAACTGAGTGGCATCATTTTTTCTCTCCCTCACTCCCACTCCAAACCAGTTCCTCCTCTATCTTCTGTATTTTTGTTAATGCCACCATCATTTCCCTCATCACCAAGGCTTGAAACCACAGCCTTCTCTGACCTCACATTTACGCTCCATAACATACCCATCACATCCTACTCTCCTTTCATGGAGATGTGCTTTAGCTGGATGTTCCATAGATGATCCTGTTCCTCTAATGATCTTGTTTAAATGCATGTTCTAATTCTGAAGATTCGGGGTGATCTTCCATCTCTTGCAAGGTTCTACATCTCTTGCAATCTCCGAGGTGATGTCCAAGTAGCTGGTGCGTGACCCATGATGAAGAGCAAGCTGCTGACCTTTCTTTTCAGATAAGGGAATGGCTTTATGCTAATAAAATGCTCACTTTTCTGTCCTTTTTGAGAGAAATTTCCAGCTCAGGGATGAGTATACTGAGCTTATCTTAAAGCAGGGGAAAACAAGGAGTCTCCTAAGATCCCCAACAACTAGGGAGCCAGTGAAGAAACGTCATCTGTCATCTCTTCTCTGACAGTTTTTTGCAATCCATTCCCTTCTGTATTTACTGTCTGCTTGTTTTGTCATAATGTATTCCTTCAACCAATATTTTTTAAGGTTCCACTGTATGCAACACATTAAACGTCTCAAAGAACAGAATATTCTGTAATACTCCACAAAAATCATAATCGCAATTCTGACAAATGTCGTGTATGTATAGAAATGATCTAATTTCTATACATTATTAAAACTGTATTATAATATTTGTTTTACTAAAAGGGACTATTATTTGTATATACATTGTTTTCAGGTTTATAGGACTGAAAATTTCAAAAACATGCACTAAATATATGCAATAAATATACAAAAGCTAAAAACCACTGGTAAAACGTAGTAAGAATCCACTAAAATACACTGCTGAGGGGTGCAGTGGGTGAAACAGGAGAGGTCTGCCTTGCCATGTGGGTCAGATCCTTAGCCTGGGATGGAACTCATCCAGCAGTGGCTCCATAACTTGATAGAGCTGACTTCAACCCCTGAGCCACCAGGGAGGCCCACTCAGCAACCTTTTGATGTGTGTTTACTTTGAATACTAGAGCCTTCCATTTCAATGGATTTCCAAAGATGTTCTGGAATAGTTGTGCATTGGTGATTTTGAATTTTACTCAGAATAAGAATCTTTAAAAAATAATGTGTTAGGAACTGAAACGTGGTAGCTTTATGCTTTAGATGGGTGGGCAACCTTCCTCATTTCTTCGTAGCTTAAGAGTTCATCTAAGCAACATAAAACTATGTTTCTGAATCTGTGGTCTTACATGACAAATAAAAACATATTTAAATGTGATGCTATCAGGAAACCATTTCCCCAATATAAGTTTTTAGGAAAAATTTATTATTATCATTAATAATAACAACAAGTATTCATGCTATAAGTAGTGTGAGCCCTGTTATTAATATGATTTAGCCTTAATGACCAATCTTTAAATATAAGAAATGATTAAGATTCCAAGCAATTGAGTGAACTTCTCACATTTCTGGAAAAAGGCATAACTATTTTTTAAAAAGGAGGAATAGAAGGCTGACTCCCGTTCTCTGCGTATAAAACAATTAATTCTAATAAAAGAACTCTTAATCATTTGCTGTATAATGCCATCCTCAACAATACCACTAATTGTAAAACAACTTTCATATGTTTGCACATAGGTGTTCATCCAAAAGGCAAGTTTTATACCATATCTATCTCTTTCAGCTTTAAATTCCCACCATTTGTTATTCCATTGTCCCGTGGAGCAGGTGTCCTGGAAGGCTCTGGCTGTTTCAGGCACTATGCTAAGTACTGGAAGCCAGAAATGAGTACGTCACTGCCCGTCACAGAAGGAAGTCAAAACATTCAGTGTTTGTTTCACATGACATATTTCTCAAGTTTCATTTCCTCTCATTGCCATCCCCTTAAATGTAGCCCTGAGTGCTTATGATAACTGACCTAGTTCACTCATTTATTTATTCAGTCATTCATTTAGTAAATATTTAAGAAGAGCTTAGTATATGCTATGGGGATAAAGGACAACTAATAGCCCTATTTTCATATGTATCAATTTTCTAGTAATATAGATTTAAAACAAAACTACTATAAACTGTGATAAACATTATGAAAAAACTTCTATGACAGACTGATAATGGGCAGACAATTATAGAAAGGATGGCTAGAGAATACCTCTGTGGGGAGGTGACATTTATTCCAAAATCTGGAAGATGTGCAGGAACTATCCAAGTAAGGAGTGGGAAAATGATTTCAGGAAAACAGTACAGCATGAAGACCTAGAGGCAAGAAAAAGTTGGTAGATTTTCTAGGCAGAAAAGAGACACTATCTGATTTGGCTTTTTAGAGAATCATTTAGGCTGTTGCAATAGAATAATTGAAGTTTAAGAGAGAATAAAAACTGGGAAGTGCTTGCATGGTTAGGAGATGGTTGTGATAGTCTAGGCTAGAGATGACAGTGGGTGGTGACTGGTTCCGTGGCAATGGAGGTGGAGAAAGCTGGAAGATACAAACAGATGTTGAGGTACAATCAATTGCATGTGCTAATAGATTGAAAATGACAGGAAGGAGAAATTAGCAATCTAGAATAATTTCCAAGTTATTGTAAAACTGGATGATTATTGCTGTCATGGTTGAGATGAAGCATCCTGGGTGTTTTGAGACAGGTTATAGGGGAAGAAAACAGAAATGAGGTATGAAGGAAAACATCTAAGAGCCTCCCACATTTTCATAATTTAGAAACTCAATAGAGGTTCACACACGATTGGCATTGTAGTGTGTGCGGCCCTTGGGTGAATCGACGTGATAGTTGATTGGCGGTATCTTTGCATTCACTAACAGGTCAAAATGATGATCTTCGTGAAGATCCTGATGGGAGGTGAAACCCAGTGATACCATAGAGAACGTGAAGGCTGAGATCTAGGATAAAGCAGGCATCCCCCGTGACTAGCAGAGGCTCATCTTTGTTGGCAAGTAGCTGGAAAATGGCCACATTCTCTCTGATTACAACATCCAGAAAGAATCCACCTTGCACCTTGTCCTCCATCTGAGGGGTGGCTGTTAATTAGTCAATCTTCCATTCACAGCCCTCGGATACCATTATTCTGCACTCCAGTCATTTGTCCCAATTCAAGTTTAGAAATTACCAGTTTCAGTAATAACTGGCCTGTTAAAAAAAAGTTTCTGTTGTATGATAGCAAAAAAAAAAAAAAAGACAAAAAGACAAAAAGAAATTCAATAGAATATCTATGTACAAAAATGGGAGTAACAGGGTCTCTGAAAGGGTGCTTTGATTTTATTTTCAAAGTAAAATACATGTACATAACAGCAAAAAACAACCACGACCAAAAAAACCAATCCCCAAAGCAAAAAACCTCTGTTATTCAGATAATGAAAACCTCTGTTATTCAGATAACGACATCACAGCATCTCTTGGCCGGCTGGTATTAGTTTCAGTGTCTCCTCCAATGTTTAAATCTCTTCTGTTATATCCCTGCCAAAAGATCACGCAGCCTCTGTTTGAACATAGTTCCAGAGGGTGCAAGATAACGATAATAGCTGACTTGCTTGGTACCTAATATGTCAGACAATCTTGTGGGGAATTAACAAAAGCAAGATCTATGTGTCAAGCATTTCTTCTAATATTCAAAGGAGTCTATTTCCAGTTATATTCGTTTTTAGTTTAATCTTTGGGGTCCCCACAACATGGTGCTAAGAGAGACTATTAGAAGTAGAACTGTAGAGTTGGAAGGTTTTCTTCTTCTCATCCTGGCTTTTAATTTTGAGGATTCTTTTTTCATCGGTCAGTGACAAGGTGGGATGAGATGACTTTAAATTCCGTTTCAGCTCTAAAAGTCTAGAGTTTCAAAATTTGTTTCTTCACTTTTAAGAGGAAAAAAGAGTAGATAAAAACGATGATGAGAGGATGAAACCCTCTAAGCTGACATTTTCTACGCATGAAACTATTTATTTAAGCTCATACCAACTGATGGATTCCTTAGTCTTTTTAAAGAACAAAACTGCCATTCATTTTTGTTTTATTTCTGATTTTTTTCTGCCAAAATCTAGGTTGAATATATTATCTACTATTATACATATATTGTCTACTGTTTACACATAAATATCCATTTCTCAGAAATTCATGTACTGAATTCCCTTCTGAGTTCTAAGAAAGGTTGATGATCTCTGCTGATAAAAATGTGTATTTTCCATACCTGTTTCGATAGCTGAGTTCTGTCCCAGGAGAACCCTTGATGGAGAAAGGACAAGGTAAAAAACAGCCAGGACATCAGTGGGTGAAGATAAGAGAAACAAGTACTCTCCCAATTCCCACTCATGCATCCCTATCCCCTTCGTCATTAAGAGCAAAGGAGATATATGATAAATGATATACATAAAGATACCCCAGTGTCTGGAGACCAACATAAGAACCACAGACTAATACCATGATTTATGGCACTACTGAGGAATCTGAAAGATGATATAACCATGGCTCTATAATTCTCTTTCTCTTTCCCATTTGCTAGTGGTGAGGATATACATCATGTATCTCTAAACTCAGTTCTCATTGACGCAGAGGCAGGGTGGGACAGAGTCTGTAGATGGTTCTTCTCATCATGGTTCAATGGAGTGGAACTCTAACAGCAAGGCATGTTTCCCCTTTTCACTTCACTGCCAGGACACTCAAGGCCCAACTCCCATTAGCAAGTCCTATCAGGTGCCCAGTAACACTTATGCCTTTAGTTCCAATAGTCTTATTTTATTTGTGATTGGTATGTAATTGATACTAGAGATCCCAACCAGTGTGCTGAATGAATTGCTATTCTCCATTCTATCTGAAGAATGCTGACTGATGTCCTTTCTTGTGTACCTGTGAGTTCATGTCCCTATCAAATGAACGTAATGTTTACCAGGAGGAAGCTGTGTTTAATCCCATGCTTGTTTATGTCAGTTAAACTAGCACTAGTGGTACAGCAATTATTATAATACAAATTTGATGAACTATTCTATAACTTTAAAATACTAGTGCAAAGAAATGGAATCATTTCTATGAAAACAGTCATATGTTTTGGAAAGATTCAATAATGTTAAGTCACTGAAAATAATGACATGGAATTAGACATGGATGAGGTAATGGAAAAACTTGGAGAAAAAAATGGTTATGTAGATGGATTGCACCTTCTGGTTGCTTTGAAAATATCTTTATGTTTTTCCTTCATCTTAAGGTGGCCAACCTTGAAATTGCTCTATGAGGTAGATTATGAGTATGGTCATGTATTCAAGGAAAAGATTTGTATCTGATATCCAAAAATTAGTAAATGATATATATTTGTATATTTAAGTAAAAATGGAATAATTAGTGTATATTTTTATTTAGAATTTCTTCCTTTAATTGATTTTTTTTCAATTAACCAACTATTACCTCAGACATCTACTGTAAAAATCAATTCTAATCAATTTGTGAGTAGGATGGATATTAATCTAAAAATATATCAAAAGGAATGAAATTAATACGTGTTTAATGAGTCCAATATTATGATTTCAACTTGGTCAAATTATCCTGGCAAGAAATTAATTAGCTGGGTATATAAGACACATGGTTACTTACCCTGGGATTATTTTAGTGAAGAGCTGCCTTGCTACAGCTAACTAAAGGTCATTCCTTGTATGGAAAAGCATAACTTATACTCAGACCTGCAACCTCAGCAGTCCTCCAAGTTTACAGCAGGTTGCTATGATAATCTTGGGTTTGGGAGTCAGCCAGACGTAAGTTTCATGGCCCAGCTCCATTAGAATGTGATCTTGGAAAGTCACTTAAACTTTTGGAGACTCAGTTTCCTTACTTGAAAATGTGACTACTAATTTTTTTCTCACTGACTTGTGAGGATGATTAAGCACAATAATCTATTTATAAGTATTTGGCACTGTATAGTCTTCGGATACTCAATGAAAGAGTCCTCTTCTGCATTCCTGATTCTCCCAGATGTAAAAATTAGCATTTGGGGTCATTGAATAAATACGCAAACATACAGGCTATCACCCTGTTGCTCTCTCTGTCGTTTTAATGTCAGAGTTTCCATTTTGTTAATTTTGTATACATAAACATTGCACTAAAGAAATGCATCTACCCTTTAGTACATCACATTGTCTTTCATATGACATAAAGATATTTCTTGAAAACTGTTGCTTTTGATGGACTCACATAATATTGCAGCTCTTAACCAGTTCAGATCTGGCCAAGGTCTTCTGTTCTTGATCGCTAGTCTACATAGATAAATGTGGTAAACTGAGGCATATATTTCCTTTAGGAACTTAAGATCTGTCTGTGTATCCATAATTACCATGCAATAGTCCAATGTCTTTGTCTTCATATTTTACAAATTCTACATTCAACCACCACCTTCTTTAAATGAATTCTGGGATTGTTTAAGTAGAGAAACAATGCTTTAAAAAGCCCCATAGATAGCTAGGGCTTCATGGGGTACCCTGTTCTCTGGGCTGCTTTGGTAAATCTAGGCCAGTATACCGCTTTGAATACTTGACAAATTTCAGTTTTGCTTACTTTTTTTTTCTCTTCTTCCATGAAGTTTAAAATAAACAATTAACCTATTTCCAACACAGTGTTTGGTATTGATTTAATTTAGCATGTGTTATTCATCTGCATGCCTCACAACGGTTGCTTAATTGTCTAAATCTTCCCATGTAGAGTGCTGCCTATGGAATCTCTTTCCACAAAACACTCTTAGCAGAGTGTGGCTTACTATTTCCATAACATCTGTCTTTTCTACTAAAGAGCAGATTAACAATTATGCTTCTTTTAAAGGTGTGTGTGTGTCTGTGTGTGTGTGTGTTCAGGAGAGGCTGGCAAAATATTCTCTTCTTGCACAAAATTCGCTTTCTGGTGTAACAGTGTACTATCACTGGGTCAGGGATTTTGCTTGTACCCATAATGCAGCTGGCAGGATTGCCCTTTTTTATTGCCTTAGCATGACACAGAATGTTGCATTATTTCCGTTAAACCTGATTGTCTACAAAGGAGACAACATATGCAACCCCCACCTCCTGTTACTACTCACCATATCACACACACACCCGCACACATGCACACAAAGCTCCTTTCAATTGTGTTAAGCAGTAAAGCAGAAGGATTTTTTAAATTAGTGTTTTGTTTTGGCAATGGTTGCTGATGTGTTCATGTAATACAGTTTTAATCAAATCCCCAAAGCTGAAGACCTTTCAGCGTATCTTAGGCTGCACTGTGCAGGGCTTATTCCACTTGAAGTGGCCACCAGGGAGGTACAATTAGCTGTTCCCATGGAGAAGTTTGTTATAGTAATAAATAATAAGTAGCATAGGTAGCGATGGAATCAATTAAAGATATTTTTGACCATCTAATGGTTTATGGGAATGCTAAATAATTGACAACAAGTTTTTGACTATGTTTTCTATCTGCATGTCTCCTTGTAACTAAACATTGACCAGGCACATAGGACAGTGTCTGTGATCACTCCTTTTTCTTTCTTAAAGCCACGTTGTCAAGGGTACTGTATGAAAGACAGTCACAGCCCTCACATAACCAAGCTGATTTTGAGAGGGTTAAAACTCTGCTGTAAATATTTGCTGCAGGCAGAAATCTAACATATGAAGCAGGGGAACAAATTGTGTTATCAGTTTCAAAAACAATCTGTTTCGCCATTCATTTATTTATTTTTTTAACCAGTGTAAAACAGAACAATAGGAGTTGACTGGCTGAGAGGGCTTTGTGCTTTGTCTTTGGGCTCCAACAGCTTTGATGTTAAAATGGAAATTTGGCAAGTGGGACATTGGTAAAGTGCTCTAAATGCTTTTGGCATCTTGACAGGGAGAAAAAAATCAAAATGGTCAAGCTACCTTGGTTTGAAATTGGTGAATGTGTGCTCACGAGTTGCTTTATAAATAAAAGCACAGAAGGAGAAAGGGTGGATGGGTTTATTATGTGTACTCAGGGTTGAACTGATATGTCGTCCATCAACTAAAGCAGGTCAGTGATCCATGAGTTTAGCAAGATTTACATGAAAAGACACAATGGTTTCTTCAAAGTTATTGGATAAGTGACATATGGTCTCATTGCCAATGTGGGTATCAATGGGGATTTATTAGCCTAAAATATGGGCTAAATAAAGCTTAAATCACAATGATCAGCATTTGATTATGAAAAGTAGCTCTAGCGGATGCTCGATTTCACAAATGTTACTATAATTGTAAAAGCCCACTCTGGGTTAGTTTACCTTCATGCAGGATGCTTCCACTCTTTCTGAGGGTCTCTCTGAAGTCAACATAAGCAGTGTATTATATCAGATCAACAGCAACTGCCTCTCTGGGTTTCTGGAGAGTGAGTTTTTTTAAATGTATGTTAATTATACTTTAAATAAAATGTATTTTTATATAGTAACTTTAGTAGGGATTGGCACACTATAGACTATGGCTCAAACTGACCCACTGCTTATTTTTGTAAAAATAAAGTTTTATTGAAACACAGTGACATTCACTCACATACCTTTTGTCTCCAGCTGCTTTCCTGGTTTAGTGGCAGCATCGAGCAGTTGGAATAGATATTGTACTTAAGATCTATGAATTTGAAAATATCTACTTTGCCACTTTGTAGAAATAAATTTGCCAGCCCCTGACTTACAGAATTCCATGATGTGATGATTGAAAATTTACCTATTATACTTGCCACATTCTTTTGTAAGGAATTTTTTTTTTGTCTCATCCTTCCAATCCCTGTTTTTCAGCTCCAAGTACTAGAAGGCAAGGAATCTGAGGATGATAGGATAGTGATTTGATTCTGACTATCACTATTGAGCAAGAACCTCAGTAGTTATGAGCAGAATGACACACACTTTTTCTTGCTACTTCCCTCTTTTCTTCCTGTTTCCTTCACTACTTCTCATTTCCTTTTTTTCTTTTTACCATCAAAAGCTGAGACCTGGGCTTCCCTGGTGGCGCAAGGCTTTAAGCACAGCACTGTGAAGCTATCCGCAGCCTCTGTAGCACAAGTTCAATCCCCGGTCAGGGAGCAACCCACTTGGCACAGCAGACCTACCCTGACTTGCCCGCTGCTCCCCTCAGCAGTGTACTTCAATAGATCTGCCTGTTAGAAGGATTTAGCCAACAGCCTCAACTTAGTAGTTGGGTCATAAGGAACAAGATCATTTGCAAGCTAGGCTAGGAGCATAACTAAAGCATAAGAAAGCATGTGGGCCCTAGAATTCAGAGGGAGTGAGAGAATACATGGGAAAAAGCAAGAAGTTCTAGAGGAATTGCTTCAACATAGGAGTGGCGGGAATTCCTTTTCATTGATTGTGGCTCCTCAAATGGTCATCCTGTGTAGTGTGGGCAATTTCTATGTTCCCACAGAAGCTCTAGTCTGAAGGAAAAGGCAGGTGGGTCCCCTTCTCCATTACCACATACAGGATGAGCTGCGGAGAGCTGGTGGAAAAAAACAAAAGCTAAAAACGATGAGCATGTGAGGCATAGAAAGGTGGTCTTTGTTTGCACTGAGCCAGGAAATCATTCAACTCTCACCCACACAGTTTGAACAAATTGATACTCCCTGTGTTTCCTCTGAGTGTGTGGGCCCAGAGTAGAGCAGAGCGTATTCTAGAACTCACTTATTTGACAATTTCTTTATATTTTCTAACAAGGTAGAAATTAATAAATATGACCTGGAATTAAAATTCCTCCACTCACAAGAAAAAAGGACTGTTTTATTGATATTATTTTTATGATTGAATATTACTTGGGAAGTAGAAAAAAGAATGAAGTAAAAAAAAAAAAAGGTCTGAGGGAATCAATCCTTTCTTTAGATACAAAGGCTGAAGGTACTGTACTGGGTTTCTAGGCCCTAGCTACTGTGCACTTTTTTGTAGTCCTAAACCTTCCATCTTCTTTTCCCTTTATCCCAGGGTTCTCCCCCACCTTGTTTTGTTTACCCACATGACCTCTTCTTCATCTTTAATTCTTAGCTTCAGCTAGTTCTTTAGGTCTTGCTGTCACTTGATCCCCTTATAACCACGTGCTTCTCATTATGCAGTAGTCCTTATATCCTTATAATTATTTTTTTAAAGATTTTTTAAAATTAATTAATTTATTTATACAAGAACCGGGGTACAGGCCAGATGTGCAGGAGGGTGAGAGGATTCACCAGAGACAGAGCAGGGAACAGAACAGGCAGATTGACGAAATACACTGCTGAGGGGAGCAGCGAGCGAGACAAGAGAGGTCTGCTGCGCCATGTGGGACCCTCGCTAGCCGGGATTGAACTGGTGCTGCAGAGGCTGCGGACAGCTTCACAGCGCGGCTCTCAACCACCTGCGCCACCAGGGGAGGCCCTGTATCCTTATAATTATTAATTTAAGTTCTATGAGGGATCATTCACTATTTACCACAATGACACAATGGTTATCCGACTTTGGAGAACAACTATAAGGACAAATTTTTAGTTTACAGACCAAAGAATCTGGGGGAAAATGTCATGAATTTGAGTTCTCCTAAGCTGGATAATCTTCTTCTATACAGGGGTTGTCAAAGGTATAAGACTAACACATATTGATCATCCTCCCTTGACTTTAAATGCATTGGATCATCAAACATCTCAATAAGCCTATGAGACACAGAGGAGGTTCAGCAAGGTCAAATGATATGCCTGGGTCAAGTTGCCAAGAAGTTGAAGAGTCATACTTTGAATAAAATTTTCTCACTAGTCCATGAGACTTGTAAATGTCTTTTTCTGAAAGAGTATCAGAGAAACTAGCCACTTTTTCTTGCTACTTCCCTCTTTTCTTCCTGTTTCCTTCACTACTTCTTATTTCCCTTTTTTCTTTTTACCATCAAAAGCTGAGACCTGGGCTTCCCTGGTGGCGCAAGGCGTTAAGCACAGCACTGTGAAGCTATCCTCAGCCTCTGTAGCACAAGTTCAATCCCGGGTCAGGGAGCAACCCACATGGCACAGCAGACCTATCCTGACTTGCCCGCTGCTCCCCTCAGCAGTGTACTTCAATAGATCTGCCTGTTCTGTTCCCCGCTCTGTCTCTGGTTGATCCTCTCACCCCTCACATCTCTGGCCTGTACCCCAGTTCTTGTATGCATAAATAAATGAATCTTTAAATAAATAAATCCTTAAAAAACAAACACGAGACCTGTCAAAAGTATCTCTAAGCACAATTTACCTTGACTATGCCCCAGAAGTTACTGTTCCCTGCTTTATTATCTGTAAATAACACACCTACACTTCATGATACTTCTTTCCAGTCAGGACTATGCATTTTCATCCTCTTAAAATGCTTATAAACTTGTAGTTAGGTTTTGTGTAAACATTTAAGGGTTTTATTTTCCTTTTTGAACAGGGTGTTAAGTGAGATTTGGGTGGGGATTTTGAAAGATCCAATCTTTATTTTTTCAAATAACTTATTAAAAAGCAACAACCCACATACCTTTTAAATAACACAAGTAGGAATTCAGCTCTCCAAAGTCATCATCCTTACCCAATGTTCTATAAAATTAGTAGCAGAGTAGATAAAATTATTAATCAAGGAAATCAAAATGGGGAAAGTAAAATAGGTATTTGCTCAGTGTTGTTTTACCTTTGTTGATTTCAAAAGAACTCAAAAATATGCCCATCAAAGAATTTTTTGAGGACTTTCCATGAAAAAGATAATTAATCTATAAAATTAAAGCCTTAAGGACAAATTGTTGCTGAATATCAAGATAAAAAGTAGTTGAAATTATTTTGAATGACATTTAATTTTTGAAAACCTGTGATGCCTAATAATTCATGTCTATTCTGCTAATATAGTGAAGATGATATTCTTGAAGGAGCAAGGCATGGATTTTTGTCATTAAAGTTGCTGGGGTTTGACATATATTTCCATATTCTTTCTGTCTGACTTATGACACACTCAACAGGTTGGTAGAACCTGAATAACCACTTAATTTTGAATAGTAACTGGGTCAAGTGAGAGCCTTCCCCTGGTTCACTATGTAATATGTGTCCATGCCTTGGTCCAGGTTCTCCAAAGCTTGTTGTTTAACTCCCCAGATTTCTTTAAAAAAGAAAAGACAGACAGACAGACAGATTTATTTTATTTATTTATGCATACAAGAACTGGGGTATAGACCAGAGGTGCTGGTGGGGTATGTATGTGTGTGTGTGTGAGAGAGAGGACTCACCAGAGACATAGTGGGGAGCAGAACAAGCAGAGCTACTGAAATACACTGCTGAGGGGAGCAGCAGGTGTGACCGGAGAGGTCTAAGCATCATGTGGGTCAACCCCCAGGAGTCTGAGTGGCCATGATCTGCCAAATTTTAATTGAACTCATGTTGCAGTAGCTGTGGATAGCTTGATAGTGCTGAGACTTTAACCCCTGCACCACCAGGGAGGCTCTCCTTAGATTTCTTTTGTATAGTGCCCCATTTCCATTATCTTCCAGAACAATGAAGAAAGGGGAATTATTCAGATTTTTCTTTTTCAAGCCTTTTTACATTCTATTCTGTTTTTACCCAAGCCCATGCTCTCTCTTTCTTTTTAGTTATTTTTTAAAACCAGATTTAGGCATAGCTTCTCTTTATAAAGCCTTACTTCAGACAAAATTTGCTTTTCCTTCCTCTAAGTTCTTTCAGCACTACATTCATATTTCTTATGTTTGCAGGGATCACACTCCCCAGCAATTATTTGTTAAATATTGATCTAAAGGGCAACTTTGATGATCTTCCTTTATTCCTAGTACTTCATTTAGAAGTAGGCACATATCTCCATAGATAAGCCTTTCTACCCCATGTATGTATTAAGCTAAGTTGACGGAGAGATGAGAGCAAAATCATCTTGTTCCTGAGAAGCCAAACACAAAGTCTGGACCTTCCAATCTGCCAAGACATTTTAAAATTTTGATACAGTTTGACATTAGGTCTACTTGAGCTGTTAGCTTCTATGAAATTGACCTTTGGACTAAGATTACTGGACATAGATTGATAGAGAGAAGTAGATTTTTTTTTTAAATGGAGGGCTGAATTTCCATCAAATTCATCAATGTTTTGGAGCCAAGGCCAAATTTACTAATATAAAACACTCAGTATAATCAAGTATCTGCAACACCAACAAATACAAAGTTCCTCCTTCTTAAATGAGTCACTTGAATGCAAAAGCAACTGTAATTCAAGAAGCCAAAAAACATGAAGAGGAGTGATCTTTGTCAGACTGGACCAACTTGTTCTACCTGTTATAGACAAAGAAAGTTTTGATGAGATACCAGGGTACCGGGTGTCATACCTTGGTTTACAAGGAGCATTCTGTGTCTCCCCCTGCTGGTTAGTAGAGTGGAACAAC